GTGGGATCTTCCCGGACCGGGGCACGAACCCACGTCCCCTGCATCGGCAGGCAGACTCTCAACCACTGCGCCACCAGGGAAGTCCTCTACTCAAGTTTTTACTATATGAGTTTATCTGCTTCGTAAGAATGTTTTAATTACGATTTATAACAAGTCCATCTTCATCATGGTAAGTTTTCATGCCTTTTTTTTTTTTAAATGGGAAAAAACATTATGAGCCAAAGATTCTCAGGGCTTAAAAAAAGGGTCAGTTTTCTGAATCGTTTTTCTTACTAAAAACTACCTTATATACTAAAATACATATCAAATGAGTGGCTTTTAAATGGTGATAAGAGGGACTTCCCTGGTGGCGCAGTGGTTAGGAATCCTCCTGCCAACGCAGGGAACACGGGCTCGAGCCCTGGTCCAGGAAGATCCCACATGCCGCGGAGCAATTAAGCCCATGCACCACAACTACTGAAGCCCACACACCTATAGCCCGTGCTCTGCAACAAGAGAAGCCACCACAATGAGAAGCCTGTGCACCGCAACAGAGTAGCCCCCGCTCGCCACAACTAGAGAGAGCCTGCGTGCAGCAACAAAGACCCAACGCAGCCAAAGATAAATAAATAAAATAAATTTATTATAAACTATAATTTTAAAAATCTGTATTTTTTAAAATAAAAATTATTAAAGTAAAAAACAGAACTCAAGACTCAGTCAGCTCATAACAGGTTTTTAAGAGTTTGAAACTAAACCTCACCAAAGAGAAAATAAATTGTAGGGAAGACTGGTGAAATTCTAATTTCAGAAGGTTGGTTTGCTAGGTTTTAATCAAATAAGTCAACTGCTTGAGTAAGTTAACTGTTTCCTAAGCCTATATTTTATTGACTTCATGATTAATTTTGAGAAGAAAATTAAAGGAATGTCATTCTGTCAGTGTAACACGTAAAGCTGAAATAAATTTGTTTTTGACCAAGCCACAACTACAGATTTCATTTATTTGTTCGCAAAATACTCCGGTTCTTTATGACAGATAGATTAAGGAGGATCTCTTATTTTAGGTGGCTTTCAACTTATGTGACTTTAAGCTTTAATTGCTCTGTCACTTTTAGAGACTAAAAGAGGTTTTGCCCAGGAAAAGAGAGAGAAAAAAAAATCCTATAATTGTAGCTAAACACGTAACTGCCAAGATTCAGTGTAACTCATACATGTGCAAAATATCACTACATATAAGACCATTCATTACAGCACTGTTTGTATAGCAAAATATGGGGAACAATCTAATAGTTATCAATATGCAATTAGTTAAATTAAGGCCTAACCACAAGGTTCCACAAAACAGCTCTTTAGAAAACTAGTCACCTCGAAGACATAGGTGGGGGCAAGGGAAGGAATCAGGTACAGCATTTACTTGGGGAGGAGGGGAATAGGCCTAACATATATGCACTAAGTCTCTCTGGTCTTTTGGGAAGAATATACAATAAAAGTTGTGGCTGTCTGGGGAGGGAAACTGGAATGCTGAAGGACAGATGAGTCTTAATTTTCCTCTATGTACCCTTTAGAACCTTTCAAAGGTGCTCTATGTATTTCCCAGTCAACAAAATAAAAGATTGATTTGTTTTGTTTTTAATGAATTTATGGGTAGAATTAGAAACTTTTAGCTCAGGCACAGATTCAGATAGAATCTACTGAGCAGTAACAATGTCAAATTATATAGAATAACTCTCCTGAAACTTTCTTTCAAAGAGACTGAAGCTCATTCATTCATTCAATCAGTATTTCAGAGCCGAGACATTAGATTTGCAGGTTATGTGTTCTAGGCATTTCAACAATGCCCAAGTCATCCAAGAATTCCTGCTTTCATGGAGCTTTAGTGGGAGTAGAGATAAACAGTAAATAATATAACTTTGAGTGATGATATGTGCTATACAGAAGAGACGAAATAGGGGCTAAAGAGCAACCATGGGGGAGGAGGGAGGACTGTGTTTTAGGACAGTTAAGGTAATCCTCTCTGAGAATATGACATGTGAGCCAAGAACTGAACATTATGACAAAGCAAGCAACGCAATAAACAGGAGGAAAGCCCTGTGAATGGAACACGCGTAGCCTCTTATTGTTCAGGGTACAGCAGAGCAACAGTGTGGCTGCAATGGAGTGACCCAAGGGGAGAAGTGTGGGAGATGATCTCAGAGGTAGGCAGATCCCAGATGGATGGAGGGCCTTGTAGCTAGGAGGGAAAAAAAGTCAAGATTTTAAGTGTGCTGCAGAACCTCTGTGGAGTTCTGAGCAGGGAAGTAACAAGATCTATGTTTTTAAAAGTAACACTAGCTGCTGTTTAAAAGGAGATCAATACAGTAGGCCAGGTAACAAATGATGGAACTGAACAGTGGTTTCAGAGAGATAGGGAAATGTGTCTGATTCAGGATATAATTTGAAAAATAGAGCCCACAGAATTTGCTACTGGATTAGAAATGGGAATCTGAGTGGGACAGCAACTGGGTGAATAGTAATTCAAAAAATCACCTTTATGGGTATGGTTACAGTTGTTAAGGTACTTTGACATATATTACGTCATTTCATAATAACAAGGGGCAGGGGAAGGTCACACTGGGTCAAGATCCAAGTTCTGCCTCCTGCCAGTTTTAAGACCCTAGGAAAGTCCTTTGAATGGGTTTCTAGCCTATATAATGTATTGTCTACTTCACAAGACTTCTGCAAGTACCAAGTGGTTGAAGAATTTTGCAAATGTAAATAATGCCCATTTTGAGGTAGAAAGCATCACACTGTCCAATGAGAGATGGTACATTCCCATCATTCAGGATAGTGGGGCTACCCCATTATATTCCACTGCCACCATTATATTCCACACAGAACCTTGTATTGTAGTTGACATAGAAGAGACAAGCTTCTTTTTTTAAATTCTGATATAAAAAATAAACATTTTCACAGATTATGAAAAACCCTACATAATATAAGCATGGGCACTAGAAAGAAAATAGTATAATCTTTTAATCCTTCCTAGGGATTGGAGAAAACAGTTCTTTTTGCTATAAATGGCATTAAAGTAAAACCACCGAACTCTTACAAGATAATACCCAAACCAAGGGACCTTTCATTAGAGAGATGTTATCAACAAGACTTTAAATTAAGAGTATATATGACTTATCACTGTCATGTTTTAAATAGCAAAATGCAAAAGCCTGGTGTAAACTAAATTATTGTATGCCAAATGAACTGAATTATGAGGACTTCAACTTATTGCTTCAAGTCATATCTATAAGTTTATATACAAGGTCCCACAGAATTTATTTTTCCATCTAAGACTTTCATATTATTGCAGAATATCTCCAGCATTAAGCAAAAATGAAAAAAATATGTAAAGTCTTTCATTCATTATGTATTTTGGAGAATTATCTTGAATGTCAATGTGTACTAGGTACTTAGTCGATAACCTGAATAACAGTAAATAAAAATCTAAGGATATCTGATGTACACAGCTCTATCTTCCACCCCTCATTTTCAAGTGGGGCCTCAATAAACATGACCACTGGGGCCATGTGATTGTATTACAACCACATTGTTAAGTACCCTCCAACACACAGCCATTAAACTGCCTTGGACGGAGTCGAAGACAAATCTTTAACACAACAAATGAAGATTTTGTTTTACACAACACTATGAAGGTTCACATCATTAGACTCCAGCGCACAATGACAATCTGTTCTACTTCTCCACTTGCTAACACTTGCTACTTTACAAAACACGTCTTATTTCTCTAAATTAAGCACCTTTAGGTCAGAGACACCCCCATCTCAGATATATGTCATTGCAATCGCACTACACAATACACCATCCTTCAATCACTTAGCATGCATCTCCCCCCAAACTTAAAGGACAAACTAGATTAAATACACGTTCAGAGTTACAGCAAACAAAATGATGCTGCAATTTAGACACTTTAACTCGCATACTGAGCAACACAGAGGTTCAACTAATTTCCTTCACTAAAATTGACCAAAAAAACCTAAAGGTTTTGTCTTCGTGGACTGCAAGAAATATTTCACGTCTGAGGACTTGATATTTATGTAAAGAGTTTACAAAACCAAGATGAATTTTTCATGGTTCCATTGATACTTGTCAAAGAACATATTCATGAAGAGCTAAAAAACGGTATTGATAATTTAAAGCGCACAAAATCGAGAGGCAAAAGGTTTCACAAGGTCCCCCGTACCTGTACTGCACCCCCTCCCCCAATCCCCGCTCGGTCTCGTGTTAGAACTATTTCCTCTAAACAGAAACAGTCCTAAAAGAGTTTGCCAACTAGAGTAAACTCACTTCGCGAAGATAACGAGCGGAAACGCATTTAAAGAGGAGATCACGGAAGCGAGAGTGACGGGGCGCGGAGCCCCCACGTCCCCCGAACCCCGGCAGCCAGGGGCGAGCATGTGCCGGCGGCTGCAGGATGCGCGGCCCTCCCGGAGCCGCCTCCCGTGGCACAGGGCCCCGCCCGGCCTCACCCTCCCGGTTCATTCATTCTGAACCTGCAGCTGCCGCACCCCCGCGCTCCCGCCCGGGCCGAGACACGGATCCGAGGCCGAGGGACCATGTCGGGCCACAGCCCCCGCCTGAAGTCCGGGCCCCGCCGCGATTCCCGCGCGCCCGCGGCCTCCGCTCGGGGGTGGTCTTAGACACCGCGGAGGCCCGCTCCCAAGACCAGAGCCCCGCAAGCCCGCGGCCCCACCCTCTGCCAGGGCGCGGGCCAGGCCTTCCCCGCTCGCGGGCCGACCGCCTGGGAGCCCCCGATCCCCGCTGCCGGGCTGCCCCACTGCGGCCGGAAGTCTCCCCGGCGCCCCCTCCCCAGCGCCCGACTTCCCTTGCCGCCGCGGCCAGACCCTCTCCGCGCTGCCTCGGGCCTCCCAGCGCGGGCCGCGGGCCGGAGGAAGCGAGGGACCGCTCCGCCCGGTCCGCCGAGAGGGCAAGAGCAGAGCGGGTAGCCGGAAGCGGGCCCGGGCGGTTACCTTGATAATCCTGCGGGGCAGCCCGGCCATCTTGTCAGATCCCGAGTTCGGCCTCTGGTCTCGTCTCCGGCTCCGCTCGCCTCACGCACGAGTGGAAGTCCCGGGCTCCACTTCCGGGGAACGTTGCCGCGCCCGCCGCTGCCGCGCCGAGGCCCCCCGGGAAATGTAGTCCCTGCTCGGGCGCGGGCGGACTTCCCTCGGACCTGGCCCCCTCCCCCGCGCTCCCCGCCCCAGCCGCGGCCTGGGGGTGGCGGAAGTGACGCGCCGCGGCGGGGCAGGGATTTGGGAGAGGTAGTGCGGGACGGCGCGGAGCCCCACAGAGCCCCGTCGCTAGTGGCTGGTCCTGGTGCGCGCTGGTGGGACTGAGAGGTCTGCGACCAGCAGGCCTCTTATCCGCGGCCACGCCCGCGCCAATGGGCGACGTAACAGAGGCCTGGCCGTAGAGGTAGCCCATTCGTTCGTTCGTTCATTCAACGCTACTGCAGGGTGCGCGGTCGGGGCTGGCGCTGGCCGAACGCCTGAGGTCAAGTTGATCCGCGAGCTCCTTCCTCACAAGTAGGGGAAGACCGAAAGTCAGTAGCAAAGCTCCCAACTGTGGGTCTCGAAAGTTATCCAGGAAAAGCCTAGCCAGAATTTTGATGTTTAAATTTCGCATAAATCGGGTGTCTTTGACACACCCCTTAGACCAGGAAAAGCTAAAAGGGTTTGGAGAGAGTTGGGGGGCGGGGAAGAAGAATGGCCTCTGAACGCCTGGCCCTAGTGGTTGACTCGCGGATTGGAGAGCTGGAGGAATGACCCAGGAGAGGATTAGAGATCCCAGCGTAATCCCTAAAAGAGGGATTACCTTTAGAGTGCGGGGCCCTAAAGGAGGATTAGAGTGAGGGTGCCCGGAAATGGGATTGTTGGGGAAGGCATTTCCTAACATCCTGATGATTGATTGCTTGCTCTGTAATGGGCTTTTTGCGAGAATTATTTTACTTTATCGTCATAGCAATCTTAAAGTGCTTCCTCCACTTTACAAATGAGGCTCGGAGACATTCACTCTTTCCAAGGTTATGAGGGAAATGGAGCTGTTTTGTTCCCACGCAGGTCTGCCAAAACGTGGACCCCTTAACTCCTTAGCCACGGTGTTTCCTAGCACAGTAGCACAGACAGTAGATGGTGAATAAAGATGTGCCAGATGCTATGTTAGTGGATGAGAATACAAAGAGGCTGACCCTAGGGAATTCCCTGGCGGTCAAGTGGTTAGGTCTCGGGGCTTTCATTGCTGCGGCCGGGTCCAATCGCTGGTCGGGGCATTAAGATCCCGCAATCCGCGCCAGGTGGCCAAAACTCAAAACAAAAAAGAGGCTGACCCTGCCTTCCAGGAACTTAGAGTCCATCGGAGAAGAGAGACTAGTGAACAATAATTACAATCCGGTGTGTTAAGGGCCGTAATAGAGATTCCTCCAAGGTGCTATTTGAGCACAAGGGAGGCATTAATTGCTTGAGAAGTCAGAGAAGGCTTCTCAAATGAGAAGTGGCATCCTAAAGGATGAGTAAGAATCTAACTGACCTGGTTGGGGGAGCATGCCAGGCCTAGAAAAAAGACTGTGAAATGGCATTGAGCTATAAGAAAAAAAAAAAAAAGTGCATTAAAGAAATGGAGAATATGAATGCAAGAAACCTAGTAAGAGTAATAAGAGAAAACATTATCATTAGCACGATGCTAAATAATTACATGGATTATCTCATTTAATGATAAAGTATATAAGGTAGGCTTTCTTATTACTATTGCTTTTTAGATGAGAAACCAAGACTCAGAGGCAATAATGAGAACTTCAAATAACCAGAAGTCTGAAATGAGTGGTTCTTCTGTATTTAGAAGAATTTGGGAAAGTAAATGACATTGGAGAAAGATACTTCCAGAATATTTTAGAGAGGGTCTGGAACCCGCCCTGATAGAAAGAAAGGCAGAGGGAATATGGGGTTAGAAGGGTACTAGTCCAGTTAGCTCTTGCATAACAATTCAGCTCAAATTTAGTGCTTAAAAGAACAATAATCATTTGTTTAGCTCTTGAATCTGCAATGTAGGCAGGGCTTGGCAGGAAAGACACATCTCTGCTCCATGCTGTGTCAGCCTGGGCAGCTTGACTGGGACCAGAACCACTTCTAGAATGGCTCACATAGCAGGCAAGTTGGTACAGACTGTTAGTTCCTCTCCGAGTGGGCCTCTCCCTGGAGCTACTTGGGCTTCCTCACTGCATGGTGGCTGGGTTCCAAGAACGAGTGTTCTAGCAGGCAAAAGTGGAAGCTGTCACCTTTTTCGACCCAACCTTGGAAGTCACGTAGCATCACTCCCACCATAATCTATTGGTTGACTCATCACAAAAGCCCACCCAGTTTGAAAAGTAGGGGACATGGACCCCCTCTCTTGAAAGAAGAGTCCAAGATTCTGGAAACTAGCTGGGTATGTGTGATACAAGATACAGTTGTGACCAACTTCGAAAAACACCAACTGCCACAGGTATATTTATCACAGTATGCTTACAAGCCACCATGCTTACAGTCACCTGCAATGCTGGTTAAAATAAGCATTCCTGGAGCCCTTCCCAGAGATTCTAATATTCTAGTTTATTGCTGAGGCCTGGGACTCTGCATGTAAACATCACAGGTAATTTTGATAGATCCTAAAATTTGAGAACAAAAGATTTTGAATAAACAACAAAAATTGTTGCCATGTGCCTTCTTTTGGCTATTCTCTATTGGAATAGATAGTGAGTATCCTGCAGATTAAGAGTGAGGGCCCCGAAGCCCTGCCTGGATTTGAAAACTTAGAATTTGCTTAACTTGTCTGACCTTCGTTTTTTTCACCTATAAAATGTACTTCATGTTCTTGTTGTGAAGTTTCAATATATATTAAGTACTTAGAGGGGGTATTATTTTTGTAATCTTGATAAGAACCAGGTATAGTTTTCTTTAGGAAACCAGATTTTTAAAATTTGACAGTATAACCTTGTTTGGCAGAGATTCATTTGATGGCATGAAATTCTCTTAGATAAATACATAATTTTTTAATGTCCTTTCCCATTCTTTTTTTTTTTTTAACATCTTTATTGGGGTATAATTGCTTTACAATGGTGTGTTAGTTTCTGCTTTATAACAAAGTGAATCAGTCATACATAAACATATGTTCCCATATGTCTTCCCTCTTGCGTCTCCCTCCCTCCCACCCTCCCTATCCCACCCCTCCAGGCTGTCACAAAGCACCGAGCCAATATCCCTGTGCCATGCGGCTGCTTCCCACTAGCTATCTACCTTACTACGTTTGTTAGTGTGTATATGTCCATGACTCTCTCTCGCCCTGTCACAGCTCACCCTTCCCCCTCCCCATAACCTCAAGTCCGTTCTCTAGAAGGTCTGCGTCTTTATTCCTGCCTTACCCCTAGGTTCTTCATGACATTTTTTTTTCTTAAATTCCATATATATGTGTTAGCATACGGTATTTGTCTTTTTCTTTCTGACTTACTTCACTCTGTATGACAGACTCTAGGTCTATCCACCTCATTACAAATAGCTCAATTTCGTTTCTTTTTATGGCTGAGTAATATTCCATTGTATATATGTGCCACATCTTCTTTATCCATTCATCCGATGATGGGCACTTAGGTTGTTTCCATCTCCGGGCTATTGTAAATAGAGCTGCAATGAACATTTTGGTACATGACTCTTTTTGAATTATGGTTTTCTCAGGGTATGTGCCCAGTAGTGGGATTGCTGGGTCATATGGTAGTTCTATTTGTAGTTTTTTAAGGAACCTCCATACTGTTCTCCATAGTGGCTGAACCAATTCACATTCCCACCGGCAGTGCAAGAGTGTTCCCTTTTCTCCACACCCTCTCCAGCATTTATTGTTTCTAGATTTTTTGATGACGGCCATTCTGACTGGTGTGAGATGATATCTCACTGTAGTTTTGATTTGCATTTCTCTAATGATTAATGATGTTGAGCATTCTTTCATGTGTTTGTTGGCAGTCTGTATATCTTCTTTGGAGAAATGTCTATTTAGGTCTTCTGCCCATTTTTGGATTGGGTTGTTTGTTTTTTTGTTATTGAGCTGCATGAGCTGCTTGTAAATTTTGGAGATTAATCCTTTGTCGGTTGCTTCATTTGCAAATATTTTCTCCCATTCTGAGGGTTGTCTTTTGGTCTTGTTTATGGTTTCCTTTGCTGTGCAAAAGCTTTGAAGTTTCATTAGGTCCCATTTGTTTATTTTTGTTTTTATTTCCATTACTCTAGGAGGTGGGTCAGAAAGGATCTTGCTGTGATTTATGTCATAGAGTGTTCTGCCTATGTTTTCCTCTTAAGAGTTTGATAGTTTCTGGCCTTACATTTAGGTCTTTAATCCATTTTGAGCTTATTTTTGTGTATGGTGTTAGGGAGTGATCTAATCTCATACTTTTACATGTACCTGTCCAGTTTTCCCATGTCCTTTCCCATTCTTTTCCCCCTTGAGAACAACTCACACTATATGCATCTGGAAAATAAAATCCGAACTTCTGATTCATGTAAGTCCTGTAGAACAGGATATATTCTAGAAGGACATGTTGCCACATGGCTGAGATGCAGGGTTTATTCTCAGGTTAGAAAGCTGGTTAAGAATCCTACTTACTATACCCATAAAATATGGTTAAAATAAAGATATCCACAAAACTAATTCCTTCCAGGCAGAGATGTTAGACAGCTGAAGAATAGAGGTAAAACAGACTTTTTACTTTATACTCTTGTACCTTTTGGATGTTGAGCTATATGAATGTGTTACCTATTCAAAACATAAAATAATCCAATTCACTAATTTCAACAGTCTAATCTAAAAGGTGTTCAATGCTCTTTACATGCTGATCAAGAATGATATCATACAACTAAAGGGGAAAAAAAGAAAAAATAATTTAAAAAAAGAAAAAGAATTATATCATACACTCAAAATTCAAAAGATTCTCGTCCATGGTATGGAATAAATAAGAGTGACCAAATAGCTTCACTAAACTGAACAGTGCTAGGCAGAACTCTTAGCTAGTTAATCTTTTTTTTTTTTTTGCGGTACGCGGGCCTCTCACTGTTGTGGCCTCTCCCATTGCAGAGCACAGGCTCCAGACGCACAGGCTCAGCGGCCATGGCTCACGGGCCTAGCCACTTCGCGGCATGTGGGATCTTCCCAGACCGGGGCACGAACCCGTGTCCCCTGCATCAGCAGGCAGACTCTCAACCACTGCGCCACCAGGGAAGTCCCCTGGCTAATCTTTTTTTGGCTCTTCATCAGGCCTCATTCTTGGCCATGATTTTTTTTCCAGGCTCTGCTTCCTTCAGGACTCAAACTCCAAGTGCCTTTGCATTATAATATAAGAAAGAGGGCCCAAGAACACTGTGTTGAAGAAATTAGAGGAATCCTGATCTATGCAAATCTTACTCCCCAGAATAATATTTAGTGCCTCCTGTTCCTTCCCCACCCCCTACCCACAAATATTTCAGTTTCACTACTTTGGCCCTATAATAGCAGATGTATAAGTACTGTTTACCCTGCAGGTAGTGTCTTAAGACATTTATACCTGAGCTCCTCAGAGCCATGGATCTCTTCCATCTTGGGCACCCCTGGATCCCTGGGGGCTAGCTCAAGGCCTACAACATGAGAGCTCTCAAAAAGTACTGGTCAAGGGAATGAATGCATGAGTGCAGGATGAAGATAAACACCTGTTGGAGAATGGTTGCCTTAAATTCATGATCCATAAGTGAAACACAGGATGTTTATGTTCATCCCTAAACTTTTCAACTTGACTTCCTGGAAGACAACAGAGCTTTTTTCACAAACTCTCTCATACTTTGCAGAGACAAAATAGAATAGTTTGGAAAATGATAGATCAGTCACCTTTAATAGAGGTCCTGTTTCCATTATGAGCAATAGTCTTCATGGAGATGTATTTGTTTGCAATACCCATATTGTTTCTTGCAGCATAGGAAAACTTTCGTGGGCTATCAAGCAGAAGTATCTGTGAGAAGAGGGTTCCTGAACACTGACTCGAAGTGGGTGGGGAGGATGAAAAGGCTGCACACTGATTTTTAAAAAGAAAAAAAAAACTGAAAAACACCTGCTGCCTCATATTCATGACTTCAACATAAATAGCTGAGTACTTACAAACGGTTAACCAACACAATGCCAGCCCATGAGAAGGATCTGAGCGGGGTCATCCAGGGTCATAGGAGCACTATCTCAAAGTGGAAGGACTCTGGAAAGAAGACACCCAAGAGAACTGGAGTAATAAGGCTGACCTGTGTTTAGCGCTTCATGCTGTACAAAGCATTTTTGAATGTTATCTCATCCACAGAGAGCTTTAAGTGCATGCACCACTGGAGGCATTCTGCAAAACCCATCACTGATTCTGCGATGTTTCTATAAAGGTAGAGGAAGGGGGGTATTCCTCTCTTTGTGCCAGTTCCCAGTGGAAACAGGATTCCAGAGGATGGTGACTCAAGGCTTGGCCAGAAGCCTGGATGGAACAGGAACTCTGAAAGCAAGGCTCTTTCCCATGCCTCTGTGTGTCACCCTTTCAGGTTCCCAAGAGAACTGTTTACATTCCATGTCCTTGGGCTCCAGTCGCTCTGTGACTCCACCTGTGAAGTGCTTACTCAGCCTATCCAGCCTAAACTGTTCCCCCACTTCTTCCCGCCTGTTGTCCCCGCCCAAGCTTCTTGTCAGTACACTCCCATCACGTTTCTTCCTCCCCACCATCACCAATCTCTCTCCAGTCCTACTGATTTCTCATATGCTTCTCACTTGTGTCTCTTGCTTTCTGCAGAAAACTGCCCACCTGCTTCCAATGTGATTAGAAATGTTTTGAAAACTTTGTTTTGCTTCTGAGTACAATGATTTGGGATCTGATATACTCTGAAGCAGAGGTTTTCAAACTTTGGAGTGCTAACCACCTCCTAGGCTGGTTAAACATACAGCTGCAGGAGCCCCACCCAAGATCTTCCGTATGCAAGTCCCAGGCCCTATGCATCTGTGATTTTAACAAGCTCCCCACCCCCCGCACCACTGAAGGGTTCAAAGCTTGAGAGTCACTGTCCCATATTATCTGATCTGATCAAGAAAACAAAACGGTTCCAAGAGCAACCTCGACTTATACATTTCTTTTATATTTTTTTGAATTTTATTTTATTTATTTTTTAAATTTTATTTTATTTTTTTGTGGTACGCGGGCCTCTCACTGTGTGGCCTCTCCCATTGCGGAGCACAGGCTCCGGACGCGCAGGCCCAGCGGCCATGGCTCACGGGCCCAGCTGCTCCACGGCATGTGGGATCCTCCCAGACTGGGGCACGAACCCATGTCCCCTACATCAGCAGGCGGACTCTCAACCACTGCACCACCAGGGAAGCCCTATTTTATTTATTTTTTATACAGCAGGTTCTTATTAGTTATCTATTTTATACATATTTGTGGACTTATATTTCTTGTTCCTGTTTTTCTAATTCCTTTTGGCCCAATACCCATATCTTTCCTCCTGTCTGTTCTAATTCTCTTGATCCAAGTGTTAGATATTCCAGATAGTTGGAGTTTAAGTTGGCCCACGTGTTCAGTATTCCAGATTGCTGGGTTTTGAGGAGGCCAATAAATAACACCCAATTTCCACTCCTGAAATGATAACCAGTTGAAAGAGATGGAGACCAAAATGTTGCCTTCATTACCAATAAAGCTGATTGGAGAAAACAGTTCTAAGTGGGCAGTCATTTGGGCTTATTAATAGTCCTCCCACCAGCTCCCCAGTTGCAAGCACAGCCACCCAGTCACTTAGCACAGCCAGACAACTGCAGGCTCCTTAAGCCAAGACAGAGCAGATGCGCATGCATGAGAGCAGAAGACAGACTGCTTTAAAAAAAAAAAAAAAAAGGAAGGAAGGAAGAAGGAGAGAAAGAAATAGAAGGGAGAAAGGAAAAGAGAGGGAAAAGGGAGGGAGGGGAGAAAAAGAAAGGAGGGAAGGAGACAAGGCTGAGAGGACCCAGCTCATTATTTTAAATTCACCAATTAGAAAACTTACTCCTCTCACCTTCTAATCACAAAACCACCTGACATTTTCTTAAACTACTGCTTACTTTCTATCCCAGTTCCCCAAAGGCAACCTCAGCCCGCAATATGGACAATCTCATCGTTGCTTTGAATATCCCGTGATCCATCATACATATTCTCTCTCTAACATCATCATTTTCACATCTTGTTGCCTTGTCACTGATGTCATGTTGCCTTTTTATCCACCCATATTCTTATTTGCTGTGTGTCCAGCGGTAACATAATGCTTAGCACATATCCCCTCCTTCCTGCCTTCCTTCATTCTCTACCTATTATGTACTAGACCTTCCCTAGGAGATGTTTTTTTTAAATGAGCAAGATAGGATCTTTGATCTTGAACTTATGTTCTTATAGGGGAGACAGACATTTAAACAAATTAATATATTTGATGTGATAAGTTCTGTAATTGAGATACCACATAAGATACAGTGAAGAGTATACGTAAGACACAGGGAAGGTTTTATTCACTCAGTTATTCAATAAACAGTTAGTAAAAGCCTGCTAAGTGCTAGGCACAATATTAGTTTCTGCAGGGAAAATGATGAGCCAAACCAGACAAGGAATTACCCTGGGAGAGAATGGATGCAAATATATATTAATGACATTAATACAAGGTAAGTGTGAAATGTTATTTTAGTCAGGGTTCCTGGGTGCAGGCATAGAAGCTGATTCGGACTAACAGATACAGAATTTATTGGGAGGACATCAGGTGTTTCATATGGTCACAGGGAAGGCTGCAGACCAGAGGATACTGGCATTCTGGAGGTGGGCAAGGAAGGGAGCCCGGGGGCTTGCCTGGTCAGTTTCCTGTTGGACGCTTCTCCCTTACCCTCCTCCAGGTATGTGTTCCTGAGTCTACAGCTTCTCAGATTCAGATTCCCATTTCTGACCAGGATGGGCTGGCGTGTATGGGAGTCTTGGGTCTAACTGCACCTCATACTGACCTTCAAATATTCCATCAGTTTTCAGCCCCTTCCTCACTCCCTCTTCCTGAATATATGGTGCTACCAATTACTTGAGCCTTGGTACAACCTGCATGCTTAACTTTCCTCTGCTCTGCTAAGTCAGGAGCCATTCCTGCATCTCTTGACTTTCCCATCTTGTTCTCATTGTTGTTTGAGTATAATTTTTTTTTTTTCATTTATATACTTTTATTTGGGAATGTTTAAATCAATACAGAGAAACTAAATTTGAGAGACACTGAATATCATTAGTTTGGATATCATTACTTTATTATAAAAGAAACACGGGAATTATTTACATGATGAAAGATTTCAGAACTTCAGTGGCAGCTTCACGTGATGCCATTTCAATAGTGACTTATTTTAGTCGACGTATTTTCCAAGAATGTCACCATCTCTAAATAAGAAATAATCCTTGTCATCTAGAACTACTTTGGTGCCTCCATATTCTGGGAGAAGAACTTTATCTCCAACTTTCACACTAACTGGTTGAATCTCTCCACCCTTTCCTTTAGAGCCTGATCCAACAGCTACTACCGTTGCTTGCAATACTTTTCCTTGTGATTTTTCTGGAAGCATAATGCCTCCCTTGGTTACAGTTTCGGCTGCACTTCTTTCAACTAATACTCGGTCAAAGAGGGGAAGAAACTTTCTAAATGCCTGTCCTGCCATGACTCGGGTTGCAACACTTCGTACTCTCGCTCTCTGGCCGCCGCCGAAAGGAGAGAGTATAATTTTTGAGAGAGGAGGGCAAAAACATCTTTATGCTGACAAGAGTATTTTTGGTGTCTTTGAGGCAGTTTTCCTGCACAAGGAGATATTTCACAGATTAGTTTTTAATTAACATTCAATTTACTGTAGTGACAGTAAAGTCTAGTTTTTCCTTAAGCTTTCAAATTCAGTTTACAAATCTTATTATTCTGTTTATAAGACCAGCAACTAAAATAAAACTCTTTTAAGGGAATTTTTCATAAAAGTAAATTACCTACGTTTAAACATTTTAAATTGCACTTGTAAATTTAACACATTCAATTTTATTTTCCAGCCCTTCAATTTTGACAAACATTCCCAAGCACCTAAATAATTCTTATAAATGAAAAAAAATTCTAATACAGTGAGTCTTCTATTAAGTATTGTAATACTGCTTCCAAACAATATAATTCTTTCACACCCTTCAACACAGAATCATAAGCCTAAATCAGTCACCTAATGACAAGTTCAAATTGGAATCACAACTTACAGAAAACACAAGGGACTTAGGAACATGTTAAAGTTTGCTCCAGAATGTACTCAGCAAAGCCCAGATTGTCAGAATCTCTACAGGAAAAACACCTGGTTTCTTTAACAAATAAGTACAAGGAAAAAAGAGAAAGACAAATGGAGAAGGAACTTATAAGTTAAAGAGACTTAAAAATGTTATTAAGCAAACGAAAGGTGTGGATCTAATTTGGATCTGATTCAAACAAGCAAACTAAATAGAAAATATGACATTCATGAGCCATTTGGAAAGTTGCATGTTGACTGGATATTTAATGATGTTAAATAATCATCATCTTTTTTTTTAAGTTGTGTAATATTGTGGTTATGTTTGAAGAAAGGAGGCCTTATCTTTTAGCATTTCTTACTGGGCTATTTATAGATGAAATAATAGGCTACTTGAAATTTGCTTCAAAATGATATAGGAGAAGGAACATGGTGGGAGTATAAATTCACTTATTTATTTATTTTTGGCTGTGTTGGGTCTTTGTTGCTGCACGTGGGCTTTCTCTACTTGTGGCAAGCAGAGTCTACTCTTGGTTGCGGCGCGCGTGCCTCTCACTGCGGTGGCTTCTCTTGTTGTGGAGCACAGGCTATAGGCGCACGGGCTTCAGTAGTTGTGGCACACGGGCTCAGTAGTTGTGGCTCGCGGGCTCTAGAGCATGGCCTTCGTAGTTGTGGCACATGGGCTTAGTTGCTCTACGGCATGTGGGATCTTCCCGGACCAGGGCTCGACCCCATGTCCCCTGCATTGGCAGGCGGATTCTTATCCACTGCACCACCAGGGAAGTCCCCAATGGTGGGAGTATAGATGAAACAAAATTGCCCATAAGCTGACAATTGTTGAAGCTGAATGAGGGGTACATGGTGGTTTATTATACTTTTCTTTCTAATTTGTATGTGTTTGAAATTTTCTGTAATAAAAAGTTTTTAAAAATTAGAATCAAAAAGCTATCTAACAGCAAAGTTAACAGTCCAAATTCTCTTATATATTCTAAATACTTAAATATAAACATAGAATACACATGTTTGTGTGTTATATTCTCAATGCTAACTGGAAAATAATATTACTAGGTGGGTTTGATTTACATCATCATTTCTACATTTAATTCAAAATCTTTATGGAGCTAAAAGTCACTTACACCCAAGGAAACAAGTAACCCCCAAGTAACCTGGGGTAACTTACGCAAGCAGTTTGGGGTGCCTTCCAGGTTGGTTGTGAGGGTGAGGTCTGGAAGTGCAGTCTTCCAGGACCTTCTTCTATATGACCTGAAAGGAGAAACAGAGCCCTCTTTTATGGTTGCTGTGCCAATAGGAATTCCAGTCCACACTCTCCAAATGGAGTGGTCTCACCACCCATGTCACCTAAATTCACGTTATACATTTTACCAAATCTTCAGTATGATTTGAGTTTCTAACCTCCTACCCAAGCTGTTTCACTGATTTATCAACATATTCAATAAAGGTATTTACTGCTGGAAGCTATTCAGAATTCTTTTCACTTTCTAACAGTATGGGCTGTTTATATTTAAATAACATCCAATTGGATTACTAAACCAATCTCTGGCTTTACAGTCAGAATACCAAAGGCGTCCCAAGGACACTTATTCTGACATGGTGCCAGGAACCTCCCTTTTGTTCCTCCAAATCCACTCTTCATCTTGTCCACTCTGCTCTCTGCCCAGGAAGCAGACTCGAATAGACTACACTATATGGAGGGGGTTCCTTCACCTCTGGTTTCTGTTTGGTTTGGGCCAATGAGAAGCCCTTGCAGGAGATTAGAGAAGGAAAGGATAGGGAAGTCAGATTAATTATTACCCTGGGTTGCTCCTGGCAAGGTCACCTCAGGCTGGCTACGCCCTTGAACAGATGACTGCTCTCCTCAAGGTAGCCAACTACAGGATTCTCTCCTGGCATCCAGTTACTGCTCCCTCTCTTTGTCCCTTCTGGCCTGGAAGGAACAGCCAGTGGTACTAAGCCCAGGTTATACCACTACTGCTCCTGGAATGATACCAGTTTGAGTATGTCATTTGCTTTCCTCTGAGACTAAGTGATATGCCAACTTAAAGCTAGAAATAATTATTGTCCATTTTAGACTAAGTCCATTTATTCATTTTTAATTACATTCAGTAGATTATTCCTGACAGTCAAAATATATATTTTAATGCCAAAGAAATAAGTAACCTCTTTGGGTCAGATGTTCATAAAAATTTATTATACAAATATTTATTAAGCAGCTACAAGATACAATTATTGCTAGTATTGATTGAGTGCTTACTACATGTCAGGTACTTTGCAAAGCATTTTACTTACCTTCTGTTATTTACCCAATAATTCTATAAAGTAGGGAATATAATTATTATTCCCCCTTTTATGAAGAGTAAACTGAGACTAAAAAATATTAAGAAAATAAATTTCTCCAAATATCATAGCTAGGAAGTCATGGAATCAAGATTCAAATTTAGGCAGAGATTCTCAGAATCTACTTGTTAACCTCTGCACTCTACTGCCTCCTTAACATTATGCTATACATGTGAGCTCTATAGTTGGAAAATAAGGTTCACCTACATGCAGGAAGCCCAAGATCTTATGGGTAGAGAAGACATAAATGTAAAAACCACTTGGAGCATTCATAAGAGAGCTTTTGAAGGAAAAGCCGTTTATAACTTGTACTCCGTATTATGTTCAGTGTTATGGAGGACCTTACATTTTATTTTATTTTATTTTTTTAATTTTTTTAAGAAGAAATTTCCATCTTCAGGAAACAACTTTTTTTAAAATAAATTTATTTATTTATTCATTTATTTTTGGCTATGTTGTGTCTTTGTTGCTGCCCAGGGGCGACTCTTGGTTGCGGTGTGCAGGCTTCTCATTGCAGTGGCTTCTCTTGTTGTGGAGCACAGGCTATAGGCACTTGGGCTTCAGTAGTTGTGGCACACGAGTTCAGTAGTTGTGGCTCACGGGCTCTAGAGCACAGGCTCAGTAGTTGTGGTGCATGGGCTTAGTTACTCCGCAGCGTGTGGGATCTTCCCAGACCAGGGCTTGAACCCGTGTCCCCTGCATTGGCAGGCAGATTCTTAACTACTGTGCAACCAGGGAAGTCCAAGGCCCTTACATTTTAATCAGTACTAATCCTTTAGATATATTTTTCTTGAATCATTTGTGATTTGAACTATTTTCATTCTGTCATTTCAGTGAGGATTAGGTTCCACTATTAGAAAAGAGGCTCAAAGTAACACTGAGTTAAACAAGATAAAAGTTTACTTCTCTCTTGTAAAAATCCCTAAGTAGGAAGTGCAGGGACTAGGAGCTCTGGTCCACAAAGTTATCAAAAACCCAGACTCCTTCCAGCTGACTACTCCATCATTCCTAAGTCTAGGCCCTCTAAATGCTAGTGTTCTAAGATAGTGACCATAACATCCACTCTCCTGGAGAAAGGATGGAGTAAGGGGCAAAGAGTGCCCACCAGCTATCTTTAAGGAAGAGAGCAAAGCTGCTGCAAGACACATTTGCTTACATTTCATTGGCCAGCACTTAGTCACATGACTACATCTATGCTTGCAAGGGAGGCTGGGAAATGTAGATTTTTTAATTCAGAGTAGACATACACTCAGTAGAAGATTAGGGGTTCTATTAACATGGAAGAAAGGGAGAAATAGCTATAGGGGAATAACAGTTTCTGCTGTAAATTTCTCACAGTTCCTGGTGAGATTATTTATCAATGTAATTAAAGGTGTGCAATTTATCTTCACAAGGCAAAACAAACACTTCTTAAGGACAATACTCAATGCATACTAGAAAAACGGGGTCTTGTTATTTTGGATAAGTTTCAAATATATGTGGTCTCCCAGAAAGCCCTTTATAAGCATTACCTGCCAAGTGTGAAATAGTTCTTAAAAATATAAAATAGATCTGCCTTTGTCACCAGCCTCATTGTTTTTGCTAGCACTCTGTATTCTAGTCACATTGACCTTATTTTTGTTTCTTGTAAGAATCATACTACTTCCTACCTTAGGGCCCTCACTCAGGCTGTTCTCTCTTGTACTCTTCATCTTTATAACTTCTACCCTTCCTTCAGATTTCTGCTTAAATTCATATCCTCAGGGGAGCCTTTCCTAACCCTAATAGACTAGTCAGACACCAACAGACTAGTTATATGCTCCGCGGCATTTTTTTCCCTCTGAGCACTCAGGACAATGATAATAAAATAATTAATTACACAATTATACATTAACTATCTGTCATCCCCACTTGATGTATAATCTCTGAAGACATAAACTGTTGCTCTGGTGTTTGGTACATCTAATAAGTGCTCAATAAATAGTTGTTGAATGAATGAACAAAGTAGAATAAAGTTAAAATTTAGGAGTCGCAGGAAAGCATCTAATAATGAAATAACTTTAGACTATAGTGTGAGGATCTTTAATAATCTAAAGTAAGTCCTGATGATCTCTAGGAGCCTTGCAGTTTGAAACTGACAATATTTAAGCTATTCAGAGGAAAGATGTTCATGATACACGGTTAAGTGGGAAAAAAGATATATTAAGAAAGAAAATCTATTGTGCATGCATGTTTATCTGTACATGTATATTAACAGTAATAAAAGAAAACCTAAATATAATGTGTTTGTGTGAAAGAGAGGGGGGCTGAAGGAGAACCAGGCTGGCTGGTTCACATCTCAGCTCCATCACTGGCCAAGGGCTTTAAAATAGTACACATCATGTGTCCAATAAATGTTAGCTATTATCATAATATAGATATACGAAGAGACAAAAGTGAAAGGTTTTACATCAAAATATTAGCAGTGATTATCTCTTGGGTTTTGTTTTTAAAATCTGTGTTAGCACTTTTTTTTTTGGCCACACTGCGCAGCTTGTTGGATCTTCGTCCCCCCCACCCCACACCGCCAGGGACTGAACCCGGGGCCACAGTGAAAGTGCAGAGTCCTAATCACTGGCCCACCAGGGAATTCCCTGTGTTAGTGCTTTTTTTTTTTTTTTTTTTTTTTTTGCAGTACGCGGTCCTCTCACTGTTGTGGCCTCTCCCTTTGCGGAGCACAGGCTCCAGACGGGCAGGCCCAGTAGCCATGGCTCACGGGCCCAGCCGCTCCGCGGCATGTGGGACCTTCCCGGACAAGGGCATGAACCCATGTCCCCTGCATCGGCAGGCGTACTCTCAACCACTGCGCCACCAGGGAAGCCCTGCCCTACTGTATTAAAATAACATCTACACAAATGAATCTGTGTCCTAATTCCATGTTATTACCACCAAGGCCTATAAAGCCCAACATGACCTGCACCTTACCCCATCTCCTGCTGCTCTCCTCCACACCATACTCCAGCATATGATAAGCTGTTTCCACCCCCTTTTAGACTTTTAAATTGTTCCCTCAGCCTAGAGCTGTCTCTGCTCTCTTTCACATGCACATGGCTGGCTTCTTTCCTGGTCTCAGCTTTGTGAACCTTTCCTGGCTGCACTGAGTCTCCCTGTTGGTCAGTGGTCCCCACTCTACTCACAGCCATCAAGACATGTCCTGTGGAATCATCTTTGATCCGTCCCTCTTCTGCTTTGCACAGTGAATGTTTGACAAGTCCAGTTGATAGTTCATTCAAGTATGTTTCTTCTCTCTGTCTCTCCCTACAGCATAGTCCAGAAAGACTACGGGGCGGCTTTGAAGGATGGACAAGATTCGAAAGGACAGAGATGGGTCCTCAATGTGAGCTTCCATAGGAGCAAAGATAAGCAGCAGAACCAGCCTGATATTCTGTGGGAAGTGAAGAGAGACATCACAGCAGTCCAAATTTATGCTGTGAATGTAAGTGAACTTACATTCACTTATTTTCGATATTAAGGACTACTTCAGGACTATGGCCCTTAAATTTTTGAGAGATTGATTAACCCCCTTGATTACATGTTAAAAGCTATGAATCCTTTTCAGAAAAATGTACATAAATCCGAAATTTTGCAGATCATGAAGGAAAGGAATTCCCAGGTGAAACTAGGCTTTATCAGTCAATCACCTACTATCTTGAATACATGCAGTGTTATTTAATTATTTTATTCATTCAACAAATATTGGAGGCCTACGATGAGGCCAAGCACAGTTCTAGATATTAGATTTGTATACCGTATAGAACATACCTGTCCCTCTTGGCCTTCATGGATCTTGAATTCTGGCATAAGAGACAGACATTAAACAAGGAAACAAATGAAAATATAATGTCATATAATGGTAAATGTTATGAAAAAAATAAAGGAGGGCAATGGGACAAGGGCGGGTGAAGCTATTTTAATGATGTGGTCCTCTCTGAAATGATATTTGAGCAAGAGCTGCATAAACTAAGTCAGTGGTCATGAGAAGCAGTGAGAGAAGACCATTGCTGGCAATGAGAACAGAAAGGGCCCAGTCCCAGGGGCCTTTTCTTCTCTCTAAGATACATGGCGAGGTCCAGGATCCTGCACGTCCTCCTCCCATAATGAATAACTGTTCTGGTTAGCACAGTTCTCAGAACATAGGTTGAAGCCTGTCCCATGCTTCCCCATTTCAAACGTCAAATCCAACCACACCCGGCTTCAGTACTTCTCTGAAATGCCTCTTCCCCTGGGAAACCTAACTCATGCAAGGAGGGATCTCAAGTTGCTCTAATTATTAGTATAAACTTTAAAAAATAGCGTTCGTTACTTTCTAAGGATATGTGTGGGGGCAGTGAATTTGTTTTCTTGGGTAGCGCCGGTAAAGCTGCAGGCAAACTGCTGGAACTAAACGCGGGCGCACGTTGGGTGGATCCCCGCCTTACCCACGGCAACCGGGGCTCTTTCCCGCGGAGACTACATTTCCCAGAGTGCCCCGCGAGCCAGGAAGGCGCGTGGAGAGGTGTCTCTTAGGACCCGGGTTGAGGTAAGATGGCGGGCTCGCGGTGAGTTGCAGTTAATGTAACCAGTTCTCTCTCCTTCTCCCGTCTAGGAATCCCTAAGAGCTGGGCAAGCCCAGAAAGTTTATAGGCAGCTGTCGAGGTCTCCTGCCTGTCGTTTGCGGCAAGATAAAGCCTCTGGCATTACCAGACTCGGTCCGTCCTGCAGAAGGGCCGGCGTGTGGCTGCGCGCTTACCGTGGGGTCTGGTTCTGGTAGCCTGTTCCTCAAGCCTCAGTCCCTCCCAGACTCTCCGCAGTCCTCTATTGCTCCAGCGTTGAATTCCGGGCCAGGGGGTTTACCCTCTGAATTCTCTCTCTGGGGTGAATAATGTGACCTCTGGGTTTCGGACAGAGGGGACCTAACGTCCCCTCAAGTGTTTTGTTTCTCATTTCGTGGTCAGAAGCTGTGGGCTTGCGTTACACCCATAGTACCTATTAAGCAGCAGTAAAGTGGCAGGTAAACCGTTTGAGCTTTCGGAGCCTCGCTTCTTAGTGTTTTAAATGGAGACGCCTACTTCACAGACTTGTGAAGGAGCATATAATGTATAGGAAAATGGGTCGTAAAGTGTAGGAGGCACACTGTAGGTACTCAGGGATGGCAGTGCTAATGTACCGACAGTGCAAGGAATCAGCCTGCGTAGTTCAACGACTAAGACTGATGAAATAAGCTTTTATCACTGTGCGGGGGTGGTGGGAGGGGAATAGTCATCGAGGCCAATTGAAAACAAGTGATGTATGTCATTTATTCACAACAGACCTGGAGCTTGGGGTTGTTTCCTCCCATTTTACCGTGGAATGCTTCGTTAATGACTTGCCCAAACTTTTCCCGTTTGTAAGGGATTGACTCTGAAGTTCTTGGAAGCAATTTAGTTAAATTTTGTACCTTAGTTTCTTCATGAATCAAAATAAAGATGCCTCTTATGATTAGGATGAGAGTAAAATGAATGGTAGTGGAAGCACCTTGGAAAGTTAAAAAGCTTATATAAAAGGGTGAAATTTTATTTGGGATTTTGGGTGTTTATATGTGTTTCTCCAAGTCAATATTTAATAAGCCAAGGCTAGGCCTTCTTGTTTAATATTTCATTTAATCAGAAACAGAATACCCCTTTAAGAGATGTAATAAAATCTTGTGTATGGTACCTGGGAGGTTGTACACCGACACATTTGCTTTATGAAAGGAGAATGCTCTGTGTAGCATGTGTGAGTGACTGTTTCTAAGAGTAATTACACATTGGCTGAGCACTCATTGAATGGAAAGAACTACACTAGGTGTTGAGAAGTTTGCATTTAAGATAAATAGTAATGGACATAGTTCTTGGGTTTCTGATCTTACTATACATTTTGATGATGTTGCTTTTTGTACTGTATTGCCTGGAAATGGAAAGTTGTTTAAAAGTTTTGTGTTAGGCAACTGTAGTTCTTGGCAGTGATCCTATTTTGTAGTGTTCAGTGTATTGTGTCACTTTAATTTATCATAGGTAGCACTGATTTTTCTTTATCTCTTATGCAGGGGTGAAAATAGTATACCTAGAAGCAATTTTTTTTTTTTTAGAAGCAGATTTTAAAAGCAGTTTCTCTTCAAATCATCTTTCATACCACCTGATAAGCATCTTGATTCACCATGGCGTTGGCAGCAGTAAAATGGGCTATATCAAGCAGAACTATCTTGAAACATTTATTTCCAATTCAAAGTAAGTGAGTTTTTTAATGTTTAAAAAGTGTTTGTTTCTTTTATATTTATTAATTTATTTTGGCTGTGCCAGATCTTCGTTTTGGCATGCATGCGGGATCAAGTTCCCTGACCAGGGATTGAACTCTGCCCTCCTGCGTTGGGAGCATGGAGTCTTATCCACTGGACCACCAGGGAAGTCCAATGTTTAAAAAGTTTTAAACTTTTTCAAATATTATAGTAATACATGTTCATTGAAGAACATTTAATGTAGTTATTGTATATGCCTGCTATTGTATAGGAGTGTAACGTGGAAAGATCTCTGTATAGAAGGGGGAAAAAGTATGTCATAGAACAGTATATATCGTATGATCTCATTGTGCATTTAAAAGATGATCGACCATATATGTGTGTGTGTATATATGTATAAATGCAGAGTAAAAGATGTGAACCAAATAAGTTATCTCTGTAGACCACAAGTGGGATTTAACCGAGGGCAAGGGAGGGATTGATAAAGAGGAACTTTTTCTAGTTTGAATCACTTTTATTTATATTTTCACATACTGCTTTTTTTAGTAGTTCCTAAAATTAGCAAAGGGCAAATTTACAATTCCATCTTACAGGGTGATTATTGTTACTATTTTGGTGTGTTCTTTTGTGTTTTTTTCTGTGTAATTTAAAAAAAAATGTAATTTCTGAAGAAACGTAGTCACATATTTTCTTCAAAGCCTATTAACACATGTTTGATAGTCAAAAATTGATCTATATAAATAGTCTATTAAAATCTTATTTCCTGACCAACCTTCTTTTCACTTTACTTTTCCTCTGTCTGTGAACTGCATTCTCCCATTTGTAAAGAAGACACGGTTAGAAGCTACAATAGGTTTGCTTTTTCATGTTTAGTGAGCCAACTTTTTTTACACATCTCTGCCTGACCTTAATTGCTTCCTTCATGTTTCCTATTGAATACCATTTGTAATTGAACATTTTTATTGAATTAAGAGGAAAAGAGTTGTTTGAAGACTAGGGTAAAAAGCTGTATAAATGAAAGTATAATTAAGTAAACAGAGGAGGAGATTGCCAAGAGACTGTAGGTATACACTAAAATCATAGTGAAAACAAAACTGTAGTCAGCTCTTGATTACCTAGGAGCATTTTGTTGTTGTTGTTGAGAATTGGGAGAGAGACCTCTGCTGCTTAGTTTCCCTTTTACCCTGATAGGAACTCAGCCTCAAGGCTGATGGGAACTCAGACGTAATCAGTTTTTACCTAGCTCATGTCCTGAAACAGCAATTTGTCCTCACTCAGGTTAATCTGCAAACCAGTTCATCTGCCCCTGGGTAAGTTAAAATTGTCTGTGTATACTTTACCAACTAGATTGTAAATTTGTACAGTGTCTATTTTAGTGTCCTCAGTGCCTCTCATACATGATAGGTGATAAATAAAAGTTTGTTGAATGGATCTTAGTGAATCGCAGTTGTCAAAATATCTGATTAGTGAAGAATGAATTTGGGCTACCCCAGAAAATTATTCCATTGTCACTCAGTCATCCTAGTAATTAATGACTACCTAACTTCTTGCATCCTTAAGCCTCTTGTTTTACACAATTTTTATTATTACTATTGAAGGTAAAGTATTATTACTGTTACTATTGATATTTTATATGAAAAGGAAGGACATTAAGATTAGAGGCAAAGCAAAACTGTGATTGGAAAGTTCAGTGAGCACAAATAAAAAGGCCTCCCTGTATTCCAGAAGGAACATTTAAAACCTTCCAAAATATACAGTCAATGTGGGAATTTTACAGCTTTTAAGCATATTAAGTCATTTGGTCTTTACAACTTTGAATTTTAGAATAACTTACCTATCACGTGGCATTATTCTCTTTCTGAAGATGAAGGAACTTGGGTTCTCTTGCCCTCAGAAGCTCAACCAAAGTTGCATATCTGGTAAATTAGACCTATGATCAAAACCTATGTCTTCCCAATATATTTTCTGCTATACCTTCTTTGTTGTTGTAGTTTAAAATATTCAACATTTGAAAATGAAGTGGGACTATCAGCTTTTATAGATCATGTCAAAATGCAATTAAATGTGTGTGTGTATAAATATATATATGTAAAACAAGAAAAGCCTGTGAGTTGTGGAGAGCTGACTCTCATTGAAATTCTTTTCGGCACATTGAGTTGATTTGGATTGATTGATGTTAACTTTGGCATCAGTTCTAATTATGCATTTAGAACCTCTGATACTTAACCATATCTAGAATTTTTCTCTTGATAAAATGTCAAATGCATTTTTCAAGTATTAATTATGCAGAAATTAACATTTTAGAGGCAGTTTGACAATCTCTTCTTTATTAGTAGGAACTATAGGGGACACAGTAATGAACAAGGTGGGATTCCTGGCCTTAAGGAACTTATTTAGACTTGTAGTTGAAACAGACACCTATGGAAACAATACCTGGAATATGATGTGGTAGAATGTGATGTATGTCATGAGGGTACAAACAAATGTCTAGGTTAGTGCAGAGTACAAATTTTGCAGTTTCCTGTTGAACTAAATACTGTTGTCTTGAGTTTTCCCTCCTGCCTAGTTAAGAATGGTAGATTCTGTCTGTCCTGCCTCTGCCACCCAACCCTGTTTCTTTCAGCAAACATGTACATCACTTAGCTGGTGTATTCAGAGAATACAAACTGCTTTTAATATTAATCCATACATAATTAAGAAGATCCCCAACAGTGTCAGACAAGAAAATAAAATATGTGTAAATGATTTTTACATTACCCTCTGATTTATCTTAATAAATGCTCTTCTGTACTAGCACAGATATTTGAAAATTAATAAATCTTTTGAAAGATGAGGTTATATTTCTAATTCTTTGTATTTTGTTATCTTTATATCAATAGAATTTTGGGGTTGACATTTTGCTGAGTAATCTTTTATGATACTAATGAATTTTGTTAAGGTACTTTTAATGCATTGGAGTAAGAATTTATATTTAGACCTCTAAGTATATGCAATCCTTTGGGAAAGGAGAGTTTACAAATCTTTGTTTAGACATCTTTGATACATATAAATAACTGATGCATTAAAAAAAAGGACACAATGATGGTATAGCAATGTCATATGGAGTGTTGGTTGTGGGACATGTAAAATAGACAACTCTTTCTGTGATGGGGATGTAGGGCAGGAAGGGGGAAAAGGATTTCATGGAAGGGTAGCATTTGACTCTTGAAAGATGAGTGGTATTTGAACAAAGTGGGGATGGCATTCCATACTCAGGAGCAAGTGGCTCAGTTGAGAGAAGTTGATCCTTGGTTTTAGCCAAGATATATTCAGAATTTTTTTTTAACCGTACTGAGCTACATTTACATTTTTTCTTTATATTTAAAAGAACATAATTTCTCTGAACATAGAGGGACTTTCACAAACTTTAAAAAAAGTAGTTATGGCTCTTGAATTTGCAGGTATTCTAAAAACGGAAAATATGCTTTGAAGTGTTGCATTTTGATTAAGAAAAGTTGATTTTGAACAGTTTATTTTGTATTTCATTACTTAAGCACTTGCCCTTTATGAGCTATGCACACACTAAAGTTTTTATTTTATTATATTATTTATTTGGCTGAGCCGTGCAGCCTGCGGGACCTTAGTTCCCCAAGCAGGGATTGAACCCAGACCCCAGCAGTGAAAGTGCTGAGTCCTAACCACTGGACCACCAGGGAATTCCCAACACTAAAGTTTTTAGAATACTCAGAAACTTTATGTTCTTTCTTTCCTCTGGTCCTGGCACTTTTTATTCCCTCTGCAAGGAACACTGTACTCATCCCCTAACAACTCCAGCTTACTCCATCATCCTTCAGAACACCTTAAACATCATCTCCACTGGAAAAGCATTCTTGAACCTGTACACTCCTGTTTTGTAATCTGTCCGTGTGTCCCTTTCACTTCCAATGCTTACCCTTCCTAACAGGGTTTATCTTTATATTGGAATTGTTTACTTGTCTCTCTCTCACCAGACTTGTACCCTTTTTGAGGTCAGGGACTGGATGTTAACTTGTTGAATCCCTAGCTCCACGTACAGCCCTGTTTCATAGTGAATACAGTAAATAGTGGTTGAATGAGTAAAACTAGCTTTACATTGGTGTGAGGACATATGCTCAAATTAACTAAATCCATCTTACTGTTTGGGGTTTTTGCAGATGGAGCCTTATATTGTGTTTGTCATAAAACTACGTATTCTTCTCTTCCAGATGACTATAATTGGTATGTATTGAAATCCAATTGAAAAAAAAAAGTTCGTTAGCTCTATCTGAAATGATTTAATTTTATTTCTTGTTTTGGTATTTTCTGCTTTCTTTTCTGATTATTCTTTCTTTAATTTTGTTTTTAAAAATTATTTCAGTGATCTTATTTACCCAGTGTCTGGGCTTATAAATGGTTTAAATAAAAATCATTATCATTGTGTTTCACTGAATACTTCATTTGTTGTAAGACAGACTTGCTGATAGAAATGCTGTCTTTTCTTCCTGAAGTATTCTTTAGCTTTTTGGAAAAACTAAATACTTTTTATGGTTTTCTCTTAGGGTTCATATGTATTAGCTTAAGCAGTTATTTATCTTATCTTTTGTTAACATTGAATAATCCTAAATTACAAATATTTAATTCAACCACAATTTATTTGGTACTTATTCTAGTCAGTATGCTAAGAACTAGGAATAACATATGAATGAAATATTGTCCTTTATCTCTATAGCAGCGTCTTATGTGCAGAAACTACAACGTGTTTTCTTAAGTTACATTGTTTTCATTGTGAATTTTAGTAAAAATGTATTTTCTTCCCTCTTGACACCAGTTTTAATTGTAAATTTAGTAAGTATTAAGATAGTGATGAAATAAGACTAGGAAATAGGTAGCACTTTTGAACCTGAAAAGATTGAGTCTTATGTGACGTGTTTTGCATTATGCCAAAGGCACTTGGAGAAATGCTGATCTAGAAAAAGTGCTCAGCTACAGTCTTTATGATTGGAAATTCAGGTGATCCTTTACCTGGAAGATTATGTATTTTGCTGATCTTCGGCTTTAATAATTTAAGTAATCTCCTTACAGCTTTTTGAAGGTAGCTTTTAGATAAGGAAAAGAAGTTCTATTAATAGTGATGAATGAACTTGAAGATCTCTTCCAAAGGTTAAGAAAACAAGTAACTTTAACAAAACAAATAATTTGAAGAATAATTTAGATAAAATAGTGGGTAATGCAGTAAAGGTTTGTTGTGGTAGTTAAGCTGATATATTTTGTGGGATGGTATGAGTTGTCCCCTGTAATATGGGTACCTGGTTTGCCAGTCCAGTGACATGATGGCATTTATTCTTCAGGGATTTGTGATTAACAAATTTTGGCTCTAATAATCATTTTGCCTTGAATACAGTATAACTCTGTTTCTAAAACATTCTTTTTTTTAGCAAAGTAGAGCTTGCTTTGACATCTGATGGCAGGACAATAGTATGCTATCACCCTTCTGTGGACATTCCGTATGAACACACAAAAGTATGTATAAGAAAATCTCTTGTAATTTTTAATTTGTTGTTGGACTATTCACCCTTCTTTACAGTATCCAAAGAGAAGGGAATTGTTTGATTTTCTTTATTTGGTTTAGATCTTTTGGCTTTTTTATTTTACTGTTTTGATTTTTCTCTTATTTCTTTTCATCATTTTTCTCTAAAGGTTTTTTTCAGTACACAAAGTGAAACATTTAAACACAATTACAACATTAGTTTTCTGGTCTAAAATTTGGTAGATTTCTGACTAGGGATCAAACACACCTAGTATAAATTTTAAAAACACATTGTCCCGGGCTTCCCTGGTGGCGCAGTGGTTGAGAGTCCGCCTACCGATGCAGGGGACACGGGTTCGTGCCCCGGTCCGGGAAGATCCCACATGCCCCGGAGCGGCTAGGCCCGTGAGCCATGGCCTCTGAGCCTGCACGTCCGGAGCCTGTGCTCCGCAACGGGAGAGGCCGCAACAGTGAGAGGCCTGCGTACCGCAAAAAAACAACAACAACACATTGTCCCATACTACTTACTATATATTGCAATCTAATAAATTATGAAAAGTTTGTATTTTAGTGTACTGTTACATAACTTTTATATTGTGTTGGTTTTTTTTTTTTTTTTTTTTATTGTGTTGGTTTTGATAATCCTTTTCATGTTTGGTGAATTTCTTCTTTTTTCGGTTAGTTTTTTCTTTTGCTTTTTTTTAAAAAAATAAATTTATTTATTTTTGGCTGCATTGGGTCTTCGTTGCTGCGCACAGGCTTTTCTCTAGTTGTGGTGAGCGGGGGCCACTCTTCATTGTGGTGCGCAGGCTTCTCATGGCGGTGGCTTCTCTTGTTGCGGAGCATGGGCTCTAGGCGTGTGGGCTTCAGTAGTTGTGGCTTGTGGGCTCAGTAGTTGTGGCTCACGGGCTCAGTAGTTGTGGCTCACGGGCTCGAGTGCAGGCTCAGTAGTTGTGGTGCACGGGCTTAGTTGCTCTGCGGCATGTGGGATCTTACCGGACCAGAGCTCGAACCCGCGTCTCCTGCATTGGCAGGTGGATTCTCAATCACAGCACCACCAGGGAAGCCCCTGGTTTTTTTTTTCTAATGGGCCAACATGGGCATATATTTTAACTGGCCTAGTTTAATTTTTTCCATATATCTTCAAAAGCCAGGCACTAGATAAAGGAGGTTTTGTTTTTATTTTTAATATAATTTAACTTGACCCAAGTCTTTTTATTATTTTATATATGAATAGCTTCCTCTTATTTCTTTAAGCCCTCTTCTGCTATATTTCGTAATGTTTGATTTGCTTTTTGAGGAGAAAATAATTCGTCACATGATGCATCTAGTGATATCTATTTTTAAAAATCATCATTAGGGCCAGAGTACCGGTTTGACAAAACAAATTAATGTTATTTTACTAGTTTGTATTCCCTTTTTAAAACTTCACCATTTTGTCTGCCTGCTTTGTATTCTAGCTAGATACTGTAGGCAGTATTCCAGTATTCCTTTTTTGTTTCATTTCTTTGGACAGTGTGTAGAAAATAGGAGTAAGTCACTGACTTTTGGCCTGTAAACCTCTAGCTCATACTATATTGTGCCTTCTTACATTGTTATTTTTTGTTATATTTCTGGTCGCGTGCTTTATCCTTGTTTTAGCAGTTTATACTAAGAAGCCCAGGACTGTGTGATCATTTCTCAGTGTCCAAACTCTCATCCCCATATGGCTCTTTGCATCCCTGAATCTGATGATTTTCCTATCTTTCCCAACTCTCAAAACTTTTCCACTGTACTTTTAGAACTTACTATCATCATTAAAATCTCTCATGACCTTAACTTCTTCCAGAATGTTGCCTTCACCTTCTGACTCTAACAGAAACTTGGCTGTACCCTGGTGTCATTGCTTCCCTAGCACTCTTAAGTAGTTGTGCTTTTCTCTCCTAAACCCTTTTACTACTGAGCATAGAGATGGAATAGGTGTCCCTGTTGCTCTTCACTGTCATATCCAGATCATCTTTCCTCCTCCGTAACAATTTCTAGCTTTGTAGTTTGTATCATTAAACCATACCATCTACTTATCTTTTTTCTTTTGCTGTTATCTGTCATCACGCATTTCACTTCTCCTCACCCTCACGTGCCCCCATCCCTCCACTCTTCTTTGAAGATTTTAGATGTACTCTCACACTCTCCAACACTGTGTCCTAATTCTTTGTTATTTCAGTGTCCATGTAGATGATCTGTCTACTACCCCAGCCTCTTAACTTTTTGATCTTTTTTCTGCATGGGAGTGGAGCCCCCCCCCCACTCCTGTGGTTGTACCCTAGAGATGTTTTAATCACAAATAACTCCTCTTCCTTCCTCCCAATCTAGATTTTTAAGAATTCCACTAGCTTACTACCAACTCCCCCTAGTTTCCCAGCTTCAGGAATTATTCATCCCCTCATTAAGATCTGCATCAGTTGATCGAACCACTTGTTCACAGTCCTTCATGTATCTTGTACATTCTCACTTCTTTCTTTACCCAGCATAGATTCCATGGTCATCATCATAATCACTCCCTTGCATACATACCCATCTCCCTGCCTCTTTTTTTGTTGAACTCCCTTTGTTGTATCAGTTGTCTCCTCTCCCATGTCCTCAGTATTCCTCTCTCTAGTCTAGGAGATCACTCCTGTCAGTTCACACTAATCTCTCTACTGGTACCACACTGGCCTCCATGCTGTTCTTTAAGGTAAGTACTTAGGAAGCTCCTGCCTCAGGGCCTTTGTAGTTACTGCTTCCTCTGCCTGGAATGCTTTTCCCCCAGAAATCCTCATAGTTTATTCCCTTTCCTTTAGATCTTTCCATATTTGTTACCTAGAGACCCTCCTTGCCACTACATTTAAAATAGTACCCCTGCCCCTGGAATCCCTATTGTCCTTCACTTTGCTTTGCTTTTCTTAATAGCATTTATCATTTCTGGCACACTGGATATTTTCTTGCTTTTCTGTCTGTCTCCCTCCATTAAAATGTAAGCTCCACGAGGACAGGGCCTTGTCTGTTTTGTTCCCTGCTAGCACCTGGAATAATACCTGTACTTGGTAGGTGCACAATAAATATTGTTGATTAAATAAATAAATTTGGCCCTCTCTCTTCATGCTTAAGGGTTTTCTGTTTTAAGGCTAAGAGATATTTACATGGAGAAGCATGGAAATTTTTTGCTTCTAAAGTAATAAATTATAGATTGGACTTTATTTACAATAAGAAACATTCTTGAAAACATGTTACTGTTAAAATATGTTCCTTTTGAATCCAGATTTACAAATTTCATGAAGATAGTATATAACATTAAATAACTATATTTAAAGGTGACTTAAAATTTAGATTTGATTTTCTTCTTTTCTCAAGGAAGTAGCTGCAACTCTAGTGAGCCCTTTCATTCTCTAGGCCCTGGAAAGCATATTGCATACAGAGATCCTGGTCATAAGTAGAAATACCTACTGACACTGGCTTTAGGAAAGTGAAGATGATTTGTATCTTTGGTTTTCTGGTAATTTACATTTGAATCTAAAAGATGTTGATTATTTTCCATGGATCCAGGTAAAAAGATCCTTCTTTCTGTTTCAGCCAGGTATGTGTTTTATTAAAACTAAAAATATTTTTCTAGAATTTAGGATTTCTAGTTTAGGGAGATAAAGATTTTAAACCAGGGGCAAAAAATAATGATTTGGAAAAATAAAGTAAAAATGTAAGTACTCAAAATTCTTTTTAGTGGTTGATTTAGTGGAAATTTTCAAAAGTCAAATTTGAAAATTATTAAGAAAAACAAGGGAAATTCAGGATGACAGTTCTGAATGTTTTTTTTTAAAGTTGACATTCAGTTTTATTTTAGTTTTTACTTTTTACTGAAATATTCATGTACCCTTTCTTTGAAGTTTGATCAAGGAGATCAAATACAACCTAAAAATCAGTTCTGAGTCTGCAGAAGCTTTTGGTTTAGACTTCTAAGAAGCCATTAATTTCAATGTCTTTTATCTGTATGCCTGGAAAAGCAATACAAAGCAGAGAGAATTTGTTATATATTAGAATTGAGCCTGTTGGGAATAGGAAGAGAGACAATGAACTTTTATTAACACTTGAAAATAACTGTTTGATAATAGTTAAAACATTTGACCTTTAGCAACAAGTGTAGTAACCTAAAAGAGAAAACTATAGGCTCTAATCTAGCATTTGCTAGTATACCTCAGGGTCTGATAGTAACTTGCAAAGACACAAATATTAATATTTCATTCTACATGTAAGAGATGATCATATAAAATGACTTAAAATGTCTAAGGAGCACTTTTTTTAAAATAAATTTATATCACTGTTTTTGTGTTTGAGGCCTTAAAATAAATGTTAACAGCTACCTACCATTATTGACCTCAAAGAGTACAAGGGACAGCTCAGCATGTTATTATTTCACTTAATCCTCATCAAACCCTTATTAGGTAGGTAATTACTCCTTAGATTTTACAAAAGGGAGATTAAGAGCTTAAATAACTATTCCAAGGTCACAGAGATAGTAGTTATTGACCAAAGCCCAATTCTTAACCTCTTCATTATACTTTCTCCTTATTCCCTCTCACACTAAGGAAGTGGTTCCTTATTCCTACTTAAAGGAAATTGTTACACTTAAATCTAACTTTGAAAGCTTTTCATAATCTGATTTCTCAAGATCCATTTTTTAAGATCACCTGCTTATTGTATGTTTTTACCTACTTTGCTTTATGTATAATGTTTGTTATTCCTTCTAGAATTCATTCTGCACTCTGTGACAAGGCTCTGACTTGGCTCCTGTTCTATTTCTCACTAATATCTTTGTTAATTTGCATCTCTATAGTACTTAGTCAGTTGTGCCACCATCATGTACTTATATATTGCCTTTTAAAGAGGTTTCAGTTTTTCCTGTACATAAACTAAATAAATATGAGTCTATGCTGTAACATTCAGTACAGTGGTAGAATGTAGCAGTTGTCGTTAATAGTGTGCGAATGTAAAGAAGACATCTGTGTTTGAATTGTTTCTTTTTTGATGGTAAATTTAGGTTTTCATTGTGTTGTAATACATATCTATGGTATTTGTAAAGCAAGGCAATGTTACAGTCTTGTGTTACATATGTTATCACTTAATATTTAAAATATAGGTAGCTTGACTTTCCAAGATACTGATTTTTAAGGGCTTTAGTCAGCCAGCGTTGCTGATGGGCATATGTTATATCACTCATGTGTTGGGAGGAGATGAGATTTTTTTTAGTAATTAATGTCTTTGGGGGAAAAAACTACTCGAATTACCATAAAGCATCATTTGATGGCATTTCAGGTACCTAAAATGAAAACATTGAAAAATTTCCTGCTTCTTTTGGATATAAGAAATGTCATTTTCTATTAAAGGTTTTTCATTGTATCTCACTTTAATGGTATGCAAGGTAGAGACTAAACTTTTAAGTTAAAAAATAATGGGCACAATTTATAGTTTTGAGAAATAGAAACTAAAATATGTTTTATTATTGGGGGAAAATAACTTTAAGAACTTTATTATTGGAAAGGGAACCCAAAACTTGATATGAGAAGAAAAATATTTCTGGGGAATTCCCTGACAATCCAGTGGTTAGGACTCTGTTCTTCCACTGCAGGGGGCATGGGTTCGATCCCTGGTCAGGGAACTAAGATCCTGCCTGGTGTGGCCAAAAAAAAAATTCTGATTCTTTAATGAATAGTACAGCTAAGTGAAACTGTTCTGATGACTTATTTACCCACCTTTAGGTACGATAATGAAGTACTCAGTGTGGTAATTATTTTATTGTAAACTCAATCAGATGCTGGCTAACATTCCTACATTTTGATTTGTTCATTGCTGATTATTTTGCAGCCTATCCCTCGGCCAGATCCTGTGCAGAATAATGAAGAAACACATGATCTAGTGCTGAAAACCAGATTAGAAGAAAAAGGTGAATACTTAGAGCAAGGACCCATGATAGAACAACTTAGCAAAATGTTCTTTACTACTAAGCACCGTTGGTATCCTCGTGGACAGTAAGTTCTATTTTCTTTTCTTCTTCAACTCTCACTGAACCCTACAGAAATACATAACTTTACTTCTATTAACAAACTTCTGAGGTTGTACTTTGCATGAAGGAATTAACACCCAGTATATCACCTATTAAATTGTATTTTTAAATCTACATATATATAGCTAAAATGAAATAGTACTTCTTTTCCTTTATTTTAGTGGGGGAGTTTAACCAAAGCTTTCAGGGAATTTTGCAAGAGTTCTTGAAAATTTTTCCATTCCGTGATGTAGTCATTTTATGTATTGTTTTTATTCATCTTCTTGATGAATACTTGATCTTGTCCTCAGCCCTCTATCCATTTATTTAACAGATTTTGAGTTATTGCAGAAAAAATTGGGGTACAGCAAATGATTGGGAAGTATATATATTTCTCAGTTCCTTTAGGAACTACAGTTGCCCCTCTGTTTCCCAGTACTCACATTTTGTTACATTGATTCTTACCTCGTATCTAATTCTGGCTTTAATTTGTTTACTTCTTTTGATTCTTATTTCTTTCATATCTATCTTATTCCCTACTAAACTAAGAAACTAAAACTAAGAAGTGGCTTTTTAAAATTGTTTGTTTGAGCAAACTTTGTTTTTATTCACTTGTTTTATTCACTTTGCTTTTACTCACCCAGTAACTAGCACTGGGCTGGCACATTTATGGCAGGACATGCTTATGGAATTAATGAATATGCAATCATTGAGCTGCTTGAAGTGATGGGTGATCAGAAACACAATCGTTGTTTGTAAGTTGTTAATAGTCAAGGAAGGAAGATAGTAGAGTAAATAAACAAATCAAGAGATTGACATTTGAAGGATGGTTAGGAGCTAGCCATGCAGAATGGGGAAAAGGCTTCACAGGCTGAGAACAGTATGTCATAGAGTAAGCTGGGGAAACTGCAAGTAGTTCAGTTTGGATGGGACCCAGAATATGAGGAGGGAATGTAAGAAGGGTCTTATGAAGGATTTTGTGTCGTGCTGAGGAGTTTAGGTTTTATTTTCATTGCCAAATTCTAAGAATCAAACTGACATCCCCAAAGTTTATGCATTAGGAGATCCTTCAGTAGGTTCTGTATTTGGGATAAGGTGATACGTGGAAAGATTGGAGTCAGAGGGACTTGCTATGAAACTGTTAAAATAGTCCAGGTGAAATTTGTTGAAGATCTACATGAAAGGACTAGCAACGGGAACAGAAAGGGGGAAAGTTAGAGATAGGAGACCTCTCAAGTTTCTGACAGAGGTGTTCAGGTGGATGGTGGTGCCACTCATACAAGTGGGGAAACAGTAGAGAGTGAGGAAGATGAACCTATTGTTGGTTATGTTGAGTCTGAAGACTCTGGATCATCTGGTGGGGAGCAGTTCTGAAAGCAGGGGCATGTATGGACCTGGAGCTTGGTTTACTTTTTTAGTTTCTCTTTAGAAGGTACTTTCTCCCTTATCTGTAGTTACAGTAGAGATTCCTCAGGGCTCTGCCTTATACTCCATGTCTTGCTAAAATTTGTTCTGAGAGCTTCAATTACATTCATTATATAGATGACATGCAACCTGCTCCATTATACATTTTTTAATTTCCTCAGCCTTATTCCCAATGTCATTGTTCTTAGAATATTACTAACTAGATAACTGTCCAAAGTTTTAAATTCATTATAACAAAACACAACTCTTCTTTTCCTGTCTTAAAAAAGCACCTCCCTTAATAATTTTCCTGTAATAGAAGTGATATTTCTGTATCAATTTCCCAAGGAAAAAATCTGTGATTTTTTTTGACCACTGTAGTGCCTTTTTTTTTTTTTTAAATAAATTTATTTATTTCATGTATTTATTTTTGTCTGTTTTGGGTCTTCGTCGCTGCATGCGGGCTTTCTCTAGTTGTGGCAAACGGGAGTGGGCTTCTCATTGTGGTGGTTTCTCTTGTTGTGGAGCACGGGCTCTAGGCGCACGGGCTCAGTAGTTGTAGCACATGGGCTCTAGAGCACAGGCTCAGTAGTTGTGGCCCACGGGCTTAGTTGCTCCACGGCATGTGGGATCTTCCCAGACCAGGGCTCGAACCCGTGTCCCCTGCATTGGCACACAGATTCTTAACCACTGTGCCACCAGGGAACTCTCTTGTAGAGCCTTTTTTTTTTTTAAGGTAAAACAATATTTGTTTTTATTTATTTGTCGAAGTACAGTCAACCTACAATGTTACATTATTAGTGTACAACATAGTGATTGAATATTTTTATAGATTATACTCCATTTAAAGTTAATAGAAAATAATGGCTATATTTTGCTGTGTTGTGCAATATATCCTTTTTATTTATTTTATACATAGCAGTTTGTGTTTCTTAATCCCATACCTGTATCTTGCCCCTTCCCCTTTTCTCTCCCCACTGGAAACCACTAGTTTGTTTGCTATATATGTGAGTCTTCTGTTTCTGTTTTGTTATATACATTTGTTTGTTTTACTTTTTAGATTTCACATGTAAGTGATAACATAGAGTATTTGTCTTTCTCTGACTTGTTTCACTAAACTTAATACTGGGAATCCCCTGGTGGTCCAGTGGTTAGGACTTCATGCTTTCACTGCCGAGGGCATAATTTCAATCCCTGGTCAGGAACTAGGATCCCGCAAGCCATGCTGCGTGGCCAAAAATAAATAGATAAATAAAACTAAAGTTTTAAAAAAATATATAATACTATCTAGGTCCATCTATGTCACTGCAAATGGCAGAATTCCGTTATTTTTTATGGCTGAGTAATATTCCATTGTATGTATTTATCACATCTTCCTTATCCATTCATCTCTTGACCACCATAATGTCTTTCAATTTCTGCATCTGTTTTATGTCCCCTTCCTTGATTTTTCTTTCTTATTTTGTATCCACTTTGTTTATGCATTCCCTCTTTGTAATTGTAAGTTAGGTTATGGGAAAACAAATTAGCAAGCCATTATATAGCCCCGTATCTAAATCACTGCTGTATTCTAAGATTTCTTTCCATGATTCATAACATTGTTCATGTTTATCTTTTATTTCTGTCCTATTAGGTAGATACTTTAGTTCAAGCCCCACCTTGAAATTTTTCTATAATGGATTTCAGTACCTGTTTCTTTCCTGCATGTTTCATGTTGCTGCAGTTTTTTTGCCATCTTTTGTTCATAACCAGATCGCTGAAGTTATGAAAATCCTCTGTAGATGTGTAATGGAAAGGGGGCAAGACTGAAGGCAAGAAGACCATTGGGGAGTCTTAAAACCAAACATGTTATCTCCAGACATTTTTGTCTAGTACCCCACCTATGTTTAATCTTATTACTTATTTAATCTTATTAGTGCTAATTAGCTTTGACTGCTAATTGATTTAATCTCTATGGTATGTCTTCTTGCATCCGGATTTCTAGGCACTTTCAGTTATAAGCAGACTTTAATTAGATACAATTGATTATCCCAGTGTCTCTCCTAATAAAGAGTTCAACAGGAAAACTCTAGATGCTAGCTTATGTGTATAAGGAAAATTTTAACCTGTAGGCATTATCCTTGTGATGCATCATCTTTCAAAATTTTAAATAAGCTAATGTGTGATTACTGATACTCAACAAGTATTTATTTGGTATCTACATATATATTTTGGATTAATGTAAGCCATTTCAAATGTTGGTTTCTAGATGTTAGCACCTCTTAAACATCAGGCAGTATATAGAAGGATGTTTTACTAAATATTTCACAATTTTAGATTTATAACAGAAGAATGGGACCCATTATGAATTTAATAATTAGAGATATATAACATCTTTTTAAACATTTTTTAAAATTTATTTTTGGTTGCATTGGGTCTTTGTTGCTGTACGCGGGCCTTCTCTAGTTGCAGCCAGCAGGGGCTACTCTTCGTTCCGATGCTTGGTCTTCTTATTGCGGTGGTTTCTCTTGTTGTGAAGCACGGGCTGTAGGTGCATGGGCTTCAGTAGTTGTGGCACATGGGCTCAGTAGTTGTGGCTTGCGGGCTCCAGAGTGCAGGCTCAGTAGTTGTGGCTCACGGGCTTAGTTGCTCCGTGGCATGTGGGATCTTCCCAGACCAGGGACAGAACCCGTGTCCCCTGCATTGGCAGGCAGATTCTTAACCACTGCGCCACCAGGGAAGCCCCCTATAACATCTTTTTAAATATGTTACTGAAAGGTATAAAATGCTTGTTTAAGAAATATTTTTAAACAATTCAGAAGTATTTAAAGTATAAAATAAAAATCTTTTTTATACCTACTAATGCCCTATTCCCCATAGATGAACACTGTTAAACTCTACCTTTGTGAATAGCCCAACCTCATATTATACTCAGTTTTGTGCTTTTTGAACTCCAATAAAGTAGAACACTTTTCTGAGAGTACAAGTTTTTGTTAAAGAGGCCAGACTGACTCAAATCATCTTGTCTCTGCTACTTACTAGCTAGTTATTCAATCTTATTATCTATTAAAGAAAGTAGAAATAATAATGCCTAATTTACTTGGTGGTTTTGAGATAAAATATAATCATTTAAGTTAAGCACCTGGCATACAGTATATGTAAGTAATAATGTGGTAATGATAATTATTAACATTGTCTCCTACTCATAGTTTTTCTCTTATTCTTTTAGAAGCATCTTTTTTTTTTTTTTTTTTGACTGTGCCACTTGGCTTGTGGCATCTCAGTTCCCCAACCAGGGACTGAACCTGGGCCATGGCAGTGAAAGTGCCAAATCCTAACCACTAGACCACCAGGGAACTCCCTGAAGCATCTTTTCTTAACTAGGCTCTTTTTTTTTTTTTTTTTTTTTGGCGGTACGCGGGCCTCTCACTGTTGTGGCCTCTCCCGCTGCGGGCACAGGCTCCGGACACGCAGGCTCAGCGGCCATGGCTCACAGGCCCAGCCACTCCGCAGCATGTGGGATCCTCCCGGACCGGGGCACGAACCCGTGTCCCCTGCATCGGCAGGCGGACTCTCAACCACTGCGCCACTGGGGAAGCCCAA